AGGCATATATTTGGGGGGGGGGGGGGGGAGGAAGGGAGGGCAACATTTAATTCACTATAATCCCCAATTCCCTCGAAGGCAGCCCCTGTGGGCTTCCATGCCCTCACTCCAGTCACGTAAGCATCCTTGTGCTACTGTGCAGTGTTGATCTGTTGGGACTCGTCGTGGGAGTGTGGGTTACAGAGTTAGCAGTTCTGGGTTCAGATCCCAGCTCTGCCACTTGCCAAGTCCCTGAACTCCCCTGCCAGGGCCAGGAGGCAGCGAGGGGCCACTCTCCGGGGCCTGCGACCGCAGGGCCAGCCCCCTCGCCACCCAGGCTGAGTTTCCTTCCATGTTGTGCCCGAGGTGCCCTTCTTGCCTTTGCCCTGGTTTTTAAATCTGAAAGGAAGGGACCCTTCTCCCGATAGAGAAACTGTCTGGATTAAGTGAGCGGCACAGCTAAACGACTCGGCACGCTGCCTGGCACGTAGCGAGGGCTCCGTAGACGAAGCCGCCGTTTCTCTGGCCAGACGGTAAGCTCCCGAAGAGCTGGTTTTCAATTCTCATTCCTTTTTAGATTCCTAATAACTCCACGCGATCAAGGATGCTTGAGCGAATGAATGAACCCGTGCTCAGCTGGAGGCATGGGGTAACGGGGTGAGGGGTCTATAACCAGGCAGATCACTCCAGCTGCGCGTGCCTGGACCAAGAGTCCTTGAGCTGATTCATTGCCTTGTTCGTGTCTGGTGCTTGGAGGGTTTAGGTGAGGTGCTTTGGATGGAAGGAGGGGAGCCCAAACCTCAGCACATTTCTGAGGTTGGTTTTCAAATTAGAACCATGAAGGAAAAGGCTCCCAAAGCGGGGTGCGCGGGCGCTGGAGGATTAGCGCGCGTCTGGAGAGCAGCAGCTCAAATGTGCAAAGTGGCTTCGGTCCACGCAGGCCGGTCCCCCGGGAACAGCTGGGCTCCCTCTCGGTTCCGCACTTGCCAGCGCCCGGGGAGGAGTTGCTTTCCTAGAGCTCGGAGGCGATCTCGCCTCTGCCTGGAGCGCCATGAAACTCCCGGCAGCAGCTGGCTCTGGCGGGGGGACCCCGAAGCATGGATATTGGAACTGATGTTCCTCTTCAACATGGTGGTTGGGACTCATTAACTCGCAGTGAGGACCAGCACGGGAGGAGGAGTTCCCTCCTTTCTAGCAACAAGGAATGTTTCCTTGGACAGGCCACTGGCCCTGTAACTGATTTTCTCTGCTGGCACAGGACAGCCTGCTGTGTGGGACCCCGAGGCTGGTGAGAAAGGGGATGGATTCAAGAATTCCTGGATGGGAAGGCTCTTCCCTTCGTTTACCACAATTGCTAAAACACGAGGTTTAATAGCCCGAGAAGGTCTATATTTGCCTGGAGACTGTTTATGTGTGGAATTTAATTTTATTTTTGCTTCAATCTGACCACCAGAGCCAGACGATTGACGACTGTAATAATTCTAAATTCCCCACACTGTCCGGTTAGGTTCAGATCTGAGATCGTGGCCCTCAAAGCTCAAAAAAGTGTGTGTTTATCTAGCAACCTCACTAAAGCACTCGTTTCCGCTGGTGCCAGACACATGGATCAGGTTTGCAATCGGCTGCCCAGTTCAAGGGCTGCCTCTCGAACCAGCCACAGGGCTTAAGGGAAGCGGTCTGGAAGGCGGTTGGGAAAGTTGGTTTTAGTAACGGCCGCATTGATGTGCAGAAGGTCACTATGGAACTGGCAAGCACCGAGCCGCTGTCGGTGGGGCTGAGCGTGCAGTCACCGTTCCTGGATGAGCTGTGCGCTTGGAAGTGGGAAGCACAGAGCGGGCTTCTCGGCTTCAGGCATTTGGCTCACTGTTTCCATCCACTGAGTCATGTCCACTGTTGCACCTGCTTCTTTTGGAGCAAAGCGTGCACATTATCACCATGACTCTTCAAAAGCACTAAATTGTACTAATCTATGAGATCTGTTTCTTTCCCTTTCCCTGCCATGAAATAGGATCTCCAGGAGTGTGTGTGTGTGTGTGTGGGGGGGGGGGGGGGGGGGGTTGAAAAACACCTTCTGAGTCATTGCCTGAGAAGTTTTTTATTGTGTGTTTTTTTTTTCAAGTGATTCAAGGTAGCGAAAGCAGTACAGGGCAGACATTTAGACTGAAAACAACCAGGTGGTAAAGACTTCTGCTTCACTCTGCCACAGGACAGGTAACTACCAGTCATTTCTGACGCTGTTATCAAGTTGGAGAGTGAGGTTGGGGAGACTTTTCCAATAGAGGTGGTGGTACACACACAAAAGAACTGTGGCCTGTAAGAGAGAAACTTCAGCACCAGTAATGACCTCACAGCTACCATTTGGATCTTGTGTATATAAGCAAGAAGATCCTGATGTAAATATAGAGACATGGTTCTACACTCCCCTGGTATTAGCTTGTCATGAACCATGAAATGGTGCTCTTTTGAGCTCCCGGGTGCCCAAGAAACGAGAAAAAAGCTGTAGAGCAGCGGCAGAGGAGTCTAGGCCAGGGGTTGGCTAACTCCAGCCCGAGGACCGGCCATCTGCTTGTGGAAATAAGGTTTTACAGGCACACAGCCATGCTCATTCATTTCCATATTGTCTGTGGCTGCGTCCATGCTACAACTGCCGAGTGGAGTAATTGCGACACTGTATGGCCAGCGCACCCAAAACATCATCTCTCTGGGTCTCTAAAGGAAAAGTGAGCAGACCCCTGGTCTAGACAAATAGTCAGATGAGTCAAGTGTTGGCTAAAAGTCCCTGACTCACGATGCCAAAAGAAGGCCTGGTTTGGCTTTGGTTGTTGTCAGGCACTGTGTGATTTTAAAACATCTTTGCAAGCCGGCACAACTAATATTCTCATTCACCTTATTTTGGGGCAGCAATATGGAAAGTAAAATTAGACCTGAATATAGTTTATATGTTACCTGGACTTCTAGAGCATTGCTCCATTGCATGTGTATGTATGTGTGTATGTATGTATGTATATATATATATATATAT